TATATACAGTTGACCCTTGAACAATGCAGGGGATTAGGGGCACCAATAACCCTCCCCCACCTCCCCTACATAGTTGAAAGTCTGCGTTTAACTTTTGACTTCCCCAAAACTTTACTAATAGCCTACTGTTGACCAGAGGCCTTACTGATAACATAGTCAATTAACACCTATTTTGTAAATTATATGTATTATATACTGTATTCTTACAACAAAGTAAGCTAGAAAAAAGAAAATTTTATTAAGAAAACCATAAGAGAAAATACATTTACAGTACTGTATTTATAAAAAAAATCCACATGTAAGTGGGCCTGTGCAGTTCAAATCTGTGTTAGTCAAGAGTTAACTGTAATATTAGTTAACAACTTCTCCCTCTCTGCTTCATCCACAAAATGGAAATAATAGTACAAACCGAATAGGGTAATTACAAAGATTAAATGGGATAAGGTATATATGCCATTCAGTATAAGTTGTTAAGATCATGTCCTGCTCAGAAAATGTATTAAATGAGATTATATATGTGAACATGTCATTTGTAGCACAAGAAATACACATTTCCACAAAATCGTTCTGTCAAGATTACCCAGTGCCGGGGGCACCTGGGTGGCTCAGTTGGTTAAGCGTCTGCCTTTGGCTCAGGTCATGATCCCAGGGTCCTGGGATCGAGTCCCGTGTTGGGCTCTCCCTCTCCCACTGCCTGCCACTCCCCCTCCTTGTGCTCTCTCTCTCTGTCAAATAAATAATATATAAAAAATCTTTAAAAAGAAAAAAAAGATTACCCAGTGCCAGTACATCAGTTTCCTATTGCTGCATATAACAAGTTGCCCCAAAATGTAGCAATTTAAAACAACAAATACTTATTATCTCAGTTTCTGTGGGTCAGACATGTGGGCATGGCTTAGCTGGGTACCTCTGATTTTAACATCTCTCAGGAGGGTGCAGTCTCATCTGAAAGCTCAACTGGAGGGCTAAGGAATCCACTTCTTTTGTTTTGTTTTGTTGTTTGTAAGACATATGTATATTTTGGGGCACCCAGGTGGCTCAGTTGGTTGGGCATCCGACTCTTGATTTCGGCTCAGGTCGTGATCTCAGGGTCATGGGATTGAGCCCTGTGTCAGGCTCCACGTTCAGTGGGGAGTCTGCTTCTCTCTCTCTCTCCCTCTTCCCCTGCCTGTCCCCCCAACTTGCTTGCTCTCTCTCTCAAATAAATAATCTTTAAAAAAAATTTAAAAAATAAAAATGGTTAAACTAGTAAAATGTAAATATATCTTTTTTAAAAAAGATTTATTTATTTTAGAGAGTGGGGGGAGGGGCAGAGGGAGAAGGAGAGGGAGTCTTAAGCAGACTCCCCACTGAGCGTAGAGCCCATCGCGGGGCTCAATCCCATGACCCTGAGATCACGACCTGAGCCGAAACCAAGAGTCAGATGTTTAACCGACTGAGCCACCCAGGCGCCCCTAGTTTAACCATTTTTTAAAAAGATTTATTTATCTTAGAGAGCACACAGAGGGGAGGGGCAGAGGGAGAGAAAGTCTTAAGCAGACTCCCCGCTGAGCACAGAGCCCAACACAGGGCTCGATCCCACAACCCTGAGATCACAACCTGAGCCGAAACCAAGAGTTGGACACTTAACCAACTGCACCACCCAGGCATCCCTAACCATTTTTAAATGTATAGTTCTGTGTCATTAAGTACATTATGTGCATTAAGTACATTCACATTGTTTGCAACCATCACCTCCATCCATCTTCAAAACTTTTTCCTTTTCTCCAACTGAAACTCTGTACCCATTTGATACTAACTCCCATCCCCGGCCCACCCCCAAGCTCCTGGCAACTATCATGCTACTCTGTTTCTATGAATTTGACTCTTCTATGTACCTCATACAAGTGGAATCATACAACATTTGTCTTTTTGTGACTTATTTCACTAAACAAAACGTCCTCAAGATTCATCCATGCTATAATGTGTCAGAATTTCTTTCCTTGTTATGGCCACATAATATTCCATTGTATGTATATACATTTCCTTATTCATTGCTTCCACCTTCTGGGTCTTATCCCACCCATCGTAGCCTTCTCAACGCTGGCCCCTCACTGGATGCACCTCATTCCAGGCTTAGTCCTGGGAAGCCACACCTGCTCCAGGGATGAGCCTGACTAGCCTGAGGATCTTCCCAGAGCTTCCCCACATTCAGGGACTGTCCCCATTCTGGTCCTGTCCACTTATCTTTTCATCCAGGCTCTACTGCTCTTCTGTGTCTCAGGCTAGGATACCACTTTCTTTGGAGGATAGAGTCACTTCCCATAAATGATCCCAGCAGGTAATGGGATGCTTTGAACCAAAACATGGATCCCCCCATATACATTGCTATGTTACACCACCAATAGCTCCCCTCCCATACCCCGTATTTGACCACCTAATACCCAATATTGTATTAAGTACTTCAGCATTTCAAAAATTGTAACCTAGCTGCCTCTTTTAAACAATTATAACTTCCATTCTGCAGATGAGAAAACTGAGATTCAGAAAGTTTAGGAGAACTGCCCAAGGTCACACAGCTAGAAGAGGACAGTGACAGAAGAACTCCATCTAGTTACCATTGCATTTCTAGGATGTCATGAGTGGTGTGTGGGTTTTTTTCAGGCCGAGAGCCAAGTGGGATAAGCATGGTTTAGAGGGAATCGTTCTGTTCTGCTCTGCAATCACCCAACGTAACTCCTCTCCCAGTGCACAGAACCGCAGTCCACTGCATAGGACAGACCAAGCACAGGGCTTGAAAGCCTGGGACCCCTCAGTCCTGTGGCACCAACTGGCCCCACCTCCTTCGCCTCCACCGATAAACCAGAGGAAGACCTCTGACTCAGGTGAAGCTACTGAGGTGTCCCTCGTAGGTGTTTGGAACTGGGACATTAAAAAGCAAAGGGACTCCGATGGTGGAGCTGTAGGTCCTGTAGAGATGGGGCTGCAGGTGGTTGCCTGGCGAGTCAGTTACGTGGGAAGCAAGGATGTATCTTGAGAGGTAGGATAGCGGCATACCGGGTAGGTGCCCAGACTGTGGAAGCAGTCTGCCTGGCGTGAATCATGGATCCCATTTTTCTCATCTGTGAAACGGGAAAGCGAACAGCCCTCGCTGCTGCCATGAATGAGTGAACACACACCTCCAAGTCCACAGCACAGGCACACAACACACACTAGCAACCACCAGCTGGCTTGAGTCCAGACACGAGAAGGCACGGCGGCCTCGGAGACCCCCAAGCGGAGCAGCTGCCTGTGACTTTCCAGTTCCCAGTAGGTGGCCTCACACCAAAATACTTTTAAATTTAAAAATCATACACCATGTTTATTTGGAAATTTTATTCTTTTTATTGCAAATTTCTGGTAAAGGAAAGAACACGGAAGCTGATCCTCATTTAGACTTTGGTCATAAGAGTGCGCTGTGGCTCAGTGGCTTCCAACCTGAGTGGCCTCTGAATCGCCCGGGCGCTTTCAATGCCTACGGATGCCTGGGTCCCACCTCCCAGAGGTTCTGGCTCGGCTCGCCTAGGGCGCAGCCCAGGCATCAGTAGCTCTTTGAACGCCCTGGGCGATTCCAGCATGTTGCCAGGGTGGAGAACCCTTGCCGGAGCTCATGACACGAGGTTGGCAGCATCGGAAGCACCTGAGCAATTCAGCGGACAGCCAGCTGTCACCTGCTCATGTCAGCCCTCAACCTGAGTCCAGCTGGCCCCCTGGCTCCCCCTCTCCCCACGTGTCCCATGTGCGGACTCTTCCTCCTCCAGAGGCCACAGAGGAGAGACGCTGGAGGGGGCGTAGCTCTCTGTGCTGTGGCTTGTGCTTCAGCCGGGAAAACTGTCCTAGATGTGCTTACTCTATCACAAAAAAGAAATTCACTTTCTGATTGCAAAAGAGCATTCACCTTTGTTTTTTCATTGTTAAGTGGAAATTATCTTCCTACATACTGATGCAAAGATTTGTGACAAAATTAAGGAACTACGTGTTGGATGACACATTCCTTATATGATTTCTCAGGTCCAAATTTTTAAAGAATTTTTGTCCAGCCATTGAAGGTAATATACTATGAACTTTAGCAGCATATTTTATATGGGTAAACAGTAATAGCCAGTTACATATTTCATTTATGATTTATCCTAAAAATAGAAAATGTTTTAATTTTCCTGAGTCCTTGGCAAACAAAAAACAATTTTTTAAAAAATTTTAAAGAATTGTTTTCCTTTTCCTGGGCACCCTCACAGTTTAGAACAGTGTGCGTCTCACCATTGGTTTGTACGAACACAGGTGAACAATTTCACTGGTGCCAATTTTCAATGACTAATCAAATCTGGCGATTGAAAAGAAAACACCCATCATCTACAAAGCTGCTCAAAATGAAAGTTTCTTGACAGTGTTATAAATGCAATATCAATTTGATTCTCTGTCCATACAAAAGTATGAATTTCTATTTCATTAATACTACTGAATGATTAATGTCTTAACAGTGATAAAATTTTTAAACATTTAAAAATTACATAGGATCCCATTTTTACATCATAATTCTGATGTATTATCATGCCTTCTATTTTGTCCGTAAAACTTTTAGAGAATACAGTGCATTGACATGGTAAAACCAAGGCACAAGAATACAGTTACAATAAGTGTATATAAACCTTAGCACTTTGTGCCAATTTTGGAAACATTTAGAGAGGAGATCATAAAACCTGAAAAATTCTCACATCCTATTATAATTAACAAACAATTAATTGTGCAATAAACAGACTATTAACCACCATTCCATTATTAAATATATGGCTATCACTATACAGGCTGTGGATAATTGAAAAAAGTTTTCAATATTAAAACCTGGTATAAGTAGGTGGTCGATGTGGATATGGTGCCTTGCATTATCTAGATAACTGTCTTAAGTTTCCATTTTAATTTGCAATGTATATGGAAGTTATCAATCTTCAAGCTATTTTCATTACATAAATGGTGGCAGGGGGTGGTTTTCCAAAAGTTAAATCCCTTCTCCCTACAAAAGACAGAAGATTTACAAGATAACCATATAAGAAATGCACAGATAACAATAATAAAATCCAAATATGGACTAAAAGGTTGAATTCTAATCTACCAGGACATTCTCTTAATTTAGGGTGAGGAGCAACACATTCCTGTGACAATTCATTAGTTTCTTAATTAAAAAAAAAAATCACCATGACATTTTTCAAAATAGTAAAGTCTTGGCTAGAGCGTCAAGCATTGAAGGAAAGTCGTTAAGTCTTTTCATTCATAAAATGAAGGGGATAAAAGCTTTTCCAAATCTAGGGGCAGGGAGGATATTCCATCGAATTTAGAGAAATGGAATAGAGTGGTAAAAATTGTACTTAATACTTTTAAAGAAAGTGTTTTTGAGACTCAAGGTAAACATTCAGACCCATGAAAACACATTGCTTGGCACATGCACGCCATGAAGAGAACACTCCTGAATGCGGTGACAGCCTAGCTAAGGAGGTATCCAGCTCTCGGCCCACTGGCAAAACCACTTGTGAGGTCCTTGTCCCAGCTCCCTTCACATGGGAGCCTCTGGCTTCTGCATCTGCTGGATTTGCTTTTGCAGCTGGTCCTTGTCCAGCTTCATCTTGGCTTCAAGAACTTGCCTGAGGGATCCTATGCTTTCATAGATGGCTGTAAATCCTTTAAGAAGAGGTAAATTTCACAAGAGTTAATATTAAAAAACAATGCTGTGTCAAATTCTACAGCATATAGTAACAGTTGATTTGGGCAAAAATTATCAATAGATGCTAAAACTACTAGAGTAAAAGTTTGAGAGGGAACAGGATAGTTACACAGTTTTATAGTATCTCCCTACAGATTACTTTCTAATTACAAAGAGAGAAGGGAACTATCACAATGGAGAAATCTGGCAGATACCACTTTAACCAAGGGATCGGACGTAATGTCACCAATACCAGGAGAAACCAACATCACATATCCCTGATAAGGTTCCCTGACACGTGAGGGACACACCGCTTCTGTGGCATTTCTGTCCAAAATGCACAACCTGAATCTAATTAAGAGGAAGCAAACAGACCCAAACTGAAATTCCACAAAATACTGGCCTGTATTCTTTAATGACGTAACATCACCAAGGAACTGCTCCATACTAAAAGACACTAAATAAAGAAACATGATAACTAACTATGCTGTATGATTCTGGAATAGAACCTAGACCAGGGAAGGTCTGCTATAATGGAAATAATGGTGAAAGTGAAAATTGAATATTGAAAAAAATTTCATTAATATTTCATTGGACTATACTTATTTAAGAGAATGTTCCTGTCCTTAGGGTATATTGATTGAAATAATAAAGGAGTAAAAAGGCATCATGACTTCTGCAACTTATTCCCAAATGACTTAGAGAAAAAAACTATATTTACACACACACACACACACACAGTCCCATCACACAATGAGATTAATTTCACACAATGAGATAAAATTTCCAAAATGTTAACAATTGGTTAGTCTCTATGAAAAATGTATAGCATTTTTGGACTATTCTTACAGCTTTTCTAAACTTGAAATAACTTCAAAATAAAAAGCAAAACAAAAGAAAAAATTCCCCATCAAAAAAGCATTTCCTATTCTGTATTTCTATGGGTTTTTATTTATTTTTTTTAATTTTTTTTTAAAGATTTTATTTATTTATTTGAGACAGAGAGAATGAGAGACAGAGAGCATGAGAGGGAGGAGGGTCAGAGGGAGAAGCAGACTCCCCGCCGAGCAGGGAGCCTGATGCGGGACTCGATCCCGGGACTCCAGGATCATGACCTGAGCCGAAGGCAGTTGCTTAACCAACTGAGCCACCCAGGCGCCCCTCTATGGGTTTTTAAAATACATGTTTAAAAGGTCTCATCTTCATTAGTAAATTTAGAATTTTCTCTCAGGGGCATCTGGGTAGCTCACTTGGTTGGCTGAGTGTCCAACTTTGGATTTCAGCTCAGGTCATGATCTCAGGGTCATGGGATCAAGACCAGCCTTGGGCTCCATGTTCAGCACAAAGTCTGCTCTAGAGTCTCTCCCTCTGCCCCTCCCACTCATGCTCTCACACACACTCTCTCTCTCTCTTTAAAAATAAATAAATAAATCTTTAGGGGGAAAAAAGAATTTTCTCTCAGAAAATTTTCTCTATTGGCAACTCATGTCATATAAGGAATAAATATTACTTATTTAAAATAACGGTCTTATTGAATAGAAAGATACAACATGTAAAGGAGTAGGTGACAAATCAGCATGTATGGCATGAGCTTTCATTCAAAAAAGCACATATATGTATAAAATGATATATATAAAGATGACTTCTGGGTGAAAGAAGTTATGAGGATTTAAAAAATATTTTGTGCTTTCTTATTTTCCATTAAGAAATACATTGTTTTTAGAATAAGAAAAAGTAAATCTTTTTATTTTTAAAAAGCTCATATGTCCTTCTTATTAGGTACTGAATATTAACCACCTCAATGGCATGTTGAATAGAAGAGAATAAACTGCCCCAGGGAATGATGCAAAGTTAAACACTGATGAAATATTCACATACCATATTCTAATAGCCCCAAAGACAAAGAAAGAAAATTCATTTTTATCTTCACAAGTTCTTCAATGCATAAATTTAACTGTGACTTCTACTTATTTTTTTTTTAAAGATTCCATTTAGTCATTTGTCAGAGAGAAAGAGTGCACAAGCAGGGGGAGCGGCAGGCAGAGGGAGAAGCAGGCTCCCTGCTGAGCAGGGAGCCCAATGCGGGACTTGATCCCAGGACTCCGAGATCATGACCTGAGCCAAAGGCAGACGTTTAACCGACTGAGCCACCCAGGCACCCCTGTGACTTCTACTTAAATAAAATAATAAACTTTTGGTAGTGACAACAAAACTATTCTTGGGATAACAAACTACTTTTATTTCCATGTTGGCCAAAGTAGATTCTGCAGAAGAAAATTATGGAATCACAGAACTGGAAGGAGCTAGGAGATAATGCAGCGCCCCTCGTCACACTGTAAGACTGTCTTGTCTTTCCCGACCATAACCAACCAGCCTCCACTTGAATACGTTCAGTCACAAAGAGTTCTCAGGCTCACAAAGCCACCAGTGTCTTTTTAGGACCTGTTACCTGAGGATACTCCTGCCTCATGTTGAATTAGACTCTGTCTTCACGTAACTTCCACATACTGGGTCCAGGACTGTATTCCTAAGCTCACAGTGTAAGTCTGTCTAACCCTTCCTTTATATGCGACAGTACTTGAGACCTGGAAATCAGCTTTACCACTTTCTTCTAAACAAATGTGAATTAATGGGCCCTGTTGACTTCTGAGAGGAGGAAAATCGTTTGCTACCATGGTAGCATACTGCCCGAGGTATAAAATAAGCCTTCAAAAGCCACTCCAAGATAGAGGTTCATTTCTGAGGCATACTGATTGTGGCTATGAACATTAACGAACCCACAGATGGCACTAAAGAAAGTGCACATCAGTTGCAAACTGAGCAAATTTCGTTTGTGTGCCCGTCTCTCGTGATGATTTTCCATGTACTTGGAATTGAAACAACACTTTAGTTCAATACAGTACAGCTACTTAGAAAATCACCTAAGGACATTTCACTGTGATTACTGTTAGCCGGGTTCACAGGTAGTTGCAGGGGGATACTCATTAATTGGTTTTCAGATCCCACTGAAAATAACCCATGAGCGGGAGTCCAAGATGGTGGAGGAGTAGGAGACCGTAGTTTCGTCTGGTCGCAGGAATTCAGCTAGCTAGCTATCAAAACATTCTGAACACCTGCAAACTCAACCAGAGAGCTAAGAAAAGAATACCTGCAACTCTACAAATAGAAAAGTGACCACTTTCTGCAAGGTAGGAGGTGTGGAGAAGTGAATCCAAGGCGACATATGGGAAGATAGACGGCGGGGGGAGGAGCCTCCATCAGCCTGCTACCGGCAAGCGATAGAGCAGCGGAGCACAAAAACGGAACTTTTAGAAGTCTGCTCTGGTGAGGGATGTCCCTGCCTGAAAGGCGCTCAGGTGGGGAAGTGGGGTGGAATCCTAGGTGGGACAGTGTGGTCTCAGGATCCCTGGGGTCACAGAAAGAACAGGGGTGCCTGAGTGCGGCAGAGCTCCCAGGCATCAGAGCAGGGAAGCCGGCTGCAATCAGTGAGCCCAGGAGTGGGCTCTCAGCTCAGGGTTGCCATAAACCATGAACCGTGGCACAGTTGGGCGACTGCCCCCCGAGCAGGGACCCAGGAAGTAGTGAACAGAGGTGAGACCCCTCTTCCTTCACTGGGAGAAGCGGCATGGGTGCATGCCACAGGGGTTTGCGGGGTTCAGAGACTGAAATGGGGTCATGTGCCTGAGATAGAAAGGCTCAGTCACAGGCTGGGGGAGCACAGAGAGCAGATGGAGACCAGGGAGACAGGAGTGATCGACTGTTTTTCCCTGCAGGCACACTGAGGAGTGGGGCCCTGAGCTTCCATTTACAGGGCTGGAGATTGGAGGCCGCCATTTTCATTCTCATTCTCTAAAGCTGCACAGAAAGCCTTCAGAGAGCAAAAGCCATAGAGAGTAAACAGGAGCAGATTACTTAGCCCAGCCCCTGGCAAGGGCGGTACAATTCCACCCCCGGCAAAGACACCTGAGATTCAGCATAACAGGCCCCTCCCCCAGAAGATCAGCAAGAACATCTGGCTAAAACCAAGTTTACTGGTCATAGAGAATTGCAAAACTCTAGTGCTGCGGGAATATAGTATATAGAATTCATTATTTTTCTCCCCATGATTCTCTAGTCTTTCAATTTTAATTTTTTTCCTCTTTCCTTTTTCAACCAATTTCTTATTTTTTTAAGATTTTATTTATTTATTTATTTATTTATTTATTTATTTATTTATTTATTTATTTATTTGCCAGAGAGAGAGAGCAAGCACAAACAGGGGAGGTGGCAGGCAGAGGGAGAAACAGGCTTCCTGCTGAGCAAGGAGCCCAATGCAGGACTCGATCCCAGGACCCTGGGATCATGACCTGAGCCAAAGGCAGACACTAAACTGAGACACCCAGGCATCCCAACCAATTTCTTATTTTATCAACTCATTTTTTTAATCTTTTTTAATTTTCATTTTTACAGTTACATTTTATCCTTTCATTGTATTTAATTTTATTTTTGTATATATATAAGTTTTTCTTTCTTTACAATTTTGGGATGCAGTTTCTTCTAACAAACAGACCAAAATACACCCAGAATCTAGTGTATGGCTCTCTTCACTGTCTGATCATATTCTCTCTCTCTTTTTTTACTTTTTTTTTTGTTGTTGTTAAAGTCTTTTTGAATTTTCATCTTTACAGTTACATTCTATCCTTTCAATGTATTTAATCTTATTTTTGTATGTATATAAGTTCTTCTTTCTTTTCAAGTTTGGGATGTAGTTTATTCTAATAAACTGACCAAAATATACTCAGGATATGGTATAGTGCTCGCTTCTGTTCACCTGTCTGCTTATATACCTTCTTTTTCTTTTTCCCTTTTGGTTTGTTTTGGTCTTTTAACTTTCATTTTTACAGTTACATTATATCCTTTCATTGTATTTAATTTTATTTTTCTACATATATAAATTTTTCTTTCTTTACAATTTTGGGATCTAGTTTTCTTTTTTTTT